CTTCTTACCACTGTACAGAGGAGTTCCATGATTATTTCATAGAGACAAGGAAATGAGTCGGAGGAACGCTTTGGAGGTAACAGAGAAGCTACACCTCGGGAACCTCCCTATTTGGTCGCAAATTGTTTACGTAGGCAGATGATACCTACTATCTAGGGCATAACTTTCTGTTACGGGATTTCGAACACTTCAGGCAGCCGCGGTTCGCCTGTGACTGAACTCAACTCCAGGCCTGAAACGTCCCCGGAAAAGAAGTTTTCGCTTTTCCAATAAACTCTTCATTGAGCCATCACATAACACATTTTTGCTGAGCGCATCGGCACATGCATTGATCGTGACGCAACCGCACGCATCACATGCTGACTGTTTTGGATCCCTTTTGAAGGGGAGCCAGACTTAGAAATCTAACTTCGAAGGAACTGAAAGGAAGGGAAACGATTATTGGATGAATTCAGTGAAATAAGACATCCAAGAAAAAGTAGTGCGACTGATAAATAGGTGGATCACAGTAGGTACCTTAAGCAACCGTTGGATGTGGGTTTTTTGGATGTTCCGGGTAGTCGTAATATCCATCAGCTAACTCTCAACTGCTAAAAGGTATGGCCAGCTGGGTTACGGATCGTACCTGTGGATTAGCAAGTATTTTAGCCCACCTGTGTAATCAAGAGCGATCCTACAACGTTACCAACTGTGCCGCATCAGCCTCCGAAAAGCTGAAAATTCTTGTTTGATTTTAAACTATGTTCCTTTTCAGGTATCCTGCCGGACAGATACGATAGCTCGTGATATCTTCTCACTGGTCGTCCAACATATGAACATCAACGAGCACGTATTTTTCGGCCTAAGTTTCATGAAAGGTAGGAAAATTCAATGCATTCCCATCAACATTTATTCTCTGATTAGTTAAAGAACATGGTCTTTTAAATGAAAAAAGTTTTTTTAGATGGCGAACATTTCTTCCTTGAAGATCATCAACGCCTCGAAAAATTCGCACCAAATGGATGGAAAAACGCACATAAAAATGGACTTCGAACGAATTTCGTGCTCTATTTGCGATTCCGCTTCTATCCTCAAGTGCTCGATTTCATAAAGTGAGATCATCTTCTAACTTTACTTGATTACTTGTTTACTTATTTCTCTGGCACGACAATCAAGGAGGGAGCCCCGAATCTGACAGGGACCTCATAGTGAAGTACTATGCGGCGACAGACGCATCGTTAGACGGGCAACATATTCCATTTTATTGACATAACCTTATTTGAACACCCATCTCCCCCCAGTCCGTCATATATAGGAGACATCGAAAAAGCTTTGGGCAAGCCCGCAGGTGGGTAGGAAGGGTTACTACTTGAACCCTGCATCTCAACGAGGTGTAGTAACCGAAGTCGGTCTTGGGATTCTGGACTCTTGTGCTGATCACGGACACCGAGAACTTACTGTCTTTTCCTTCCTCCCCTTTCTAATTAAAGGCGATCGCGAGCTTTTTCTGGCTTTTACTGGGTTGAAGCCTAATGTGTTTCATTTTTATGGCCTATTTTATTGTTCCTGATCCTTTTTTCAGTTTCCTTAATTTTATTCGTAAATTATTCAGAACCGATGTGACAATGCACGAATTATATCTACAAGTGCGCCACGATGTAATCGAAGAACGAATTCAACCACGACGAGATGCAGCCTACGAATTGGCCGCACTGGCATTGCAGGCTGAGTTCGGCAATCGACCCCCACCGGTCATCGTTGATTACTTTGACAATCAACACTATCTTCCTCATGTAGGTTTAAACATTGTACGCCCTCTATAGAGTGTTGGAAAGGGAGAAGGGGAACTATCGCGGAGGGGTGGGTAAGAAGGTGGTAGTGCCGTAGCTACTACTTGCCGTGCATATTACTTCGAGCTGAAGCAGTTTCGACACGATGTCATTTCGTCAGCGATCGAAAGGACCATGCTTTCCCTTCGATGTGAAACTCATTCCTTTCCTTACCACTCCTCGTACTTTTATTCCTCCTGTCCTTTCCTTTCTCCTGAACAGATGGAAATACGCAAAGGAGTACTGTAAAAAGGAAATGAAGGGAAGAGTGATCCCGAAGAGCGAAAAAGTTCGTCCATTAGGGGCTGCAATTGTTATAACCTCCATGAAATATGATCCGAATCATTACCCTATCCCATCTGAAGCCCTGAACTTAGTTGGTTCTTTGTCGTTTTGCAGTCTGGCCTCTGCGATTTCTCCGATGGCAGGTCAAAGTCGAATGCATGGCGCATTCCAAAAATGGGACAATATTTGTCAAATCACTCTTTTATATGCAATTATCAATGGTTTTGTCGGTTTTTTAGCGCTACTGTTCAATGGACGATCCGAAACATCTCCAAGCGGTTCTTGCTGAAATGCATGGACATTATTCGGGAACAAAACCGTCCATAGCTGAACATAAGTTCATTCAGGTACTCCTTCATGAATATCATAAATACAGACTAACACAACTTCTGAAAATTGCACTCTTCCTGGAACTTTGCAATTTTAAATGCTCCTATGTTCCTTTATTTGATCCCATAGCAAACCTTTTTGAAGGGTGATCGCAGTGGATTCTCTGTCGGTCAGTCCCAGAAAGACAGGGTAGTAGCCGTAGACCAACCCCACGATTGTAGTTCCCGATCGCATATGTGGCTCATTCCACAGGATTGAATCAACATCAACCATTGCCCTTCCCAATTTTCGTGACAAATAGTAAATTCTGGTTA